CTAAAATACCCACAATGGAAATCGGCTTATTGTCTTCAATTAGTAACCACCGAACGGTAATCTCCATTAAATGGACGGCTAGGATGAATTTGTATTTTGTAAATTAGGAGGACTTTGTATATGATCCCAAATCTATATATATATATATATATATATATATATATATATATATATAATGCACTCCTTTCCTTGATTGGTTTTTCCAACAAGGTTTTTTAACGAGGCATACACATAGTACAATAATTCCTTCGAGAGGCTAGTAACTAGGGATGGCAATTTAACCCGACCCGATGGATACCCGCACCGAACCGAACAAGTCAAAATGGGGAAAACCGTTTTGACTGGGTAACGGGTACGGGGCGGGGAATACCCGATTTATGTAAACGGGTAATGGGGCGGTTATGGGTTTATACCCACCCGCCCCGTTACCCGCCCCGTTTAATTTGGATACGGTTACCCACACCATTACCCGACCCGTACAATTAACTTATATATTTTAATAGTTTATGTATTTATTATTTAATATATTAAGTATATGTGAATAATAGTACATTAGTATATGACATTTATTCCCTCTAGTACTTTGAAACAATATTCAACTTATCGGCTATCCTTTGCAATTCTGATGATCGAGTTGGTGCTCAAAGTTCACTATTTTAGATTTTAAAATTTCAATATCATTCATCATCCTTCCTTTGTTAACTTCTATAATATTCCTTCAAAAAAACCTCTACAATATTTATTTTCTTCACATATTGATTATTTGATTTTCGTGACTTTCTTTACGCAATTTCCACATTGTGACTCTCTTAGTTTTTCACCCAATAACTTTCATAAAACTCACGTATGAGTTTAAAGTCAAAATATTGCATTACTCTAGCTTGCTTTAATTTATGTAATTGCTAATAATTTTGTAAAGGTGTATTGGATGATTATATTAATTTTGATTGGTTGCTCTAATTTATATCAAGTTTTAAAATTTAAATTATGTTTTTTTTTTCTAAAACAGTAACTACAAGAATACCTAAATCATAGTATTAGAAGTGCCTTTTAAATAATTCCAAATCTATAATCAAAATAAAAGTTGTGGACAAAAATGCGACTCTAGTAACTTTAGTGTTTATAATTTTATTCAAATGTTATGTCATAGTGATTACAAAACTTACTCATGGTAACTTATAGTCATATTTATGTTCATATCTTTTTTATTAGAGGTATTTTAGGGGAAAAACTTCCCATTTTCATTATGTTACTTGTATACATTATTGTTCTTAAATTAATTTAGATGTTGAATGTTGGTGGGGGTATGCTTATTGAATGTTTGGAAGTTAAATGTTTTTGTGATTCATATTTATTTTTTCTATCGAGACAAGACTTACTCTTTTGATGTTTATGTGGTAAGAGATTCAATTTGAATCTAGACATATATAATTTGTGAATATTAGATTCAAACGATTGTAACTTTTTGTCATGTTTTAAAAAACTTTATCTGTGGTACTATTCAATTTTAATTTTTTTTTAAGTTAGGTGGTCAATGATAAGTAGTTAATAATCATTTTAGGATCTATACTATTTTTGAAGAAAAAAAATTATTTTTTAATAAAACGGTTACCCGCGGGGAAACCGTTACCCGCGGGGAAAGCCGTTACCCGCGGGTAAAAAATACCCGACGGGTAACGGGGCGGTTTCGGGGAATTTTTTTATCAAACGGGGCGGGTACGGGTAATGGTATACCCGACCCCGAACCACCCCGTTGCCATCCCTACTAGTAACCGGGTTGGATTGAATTGGATTCGAGAAAAAGACCTGAAGTGATGCAGTCAATAGGGGGAGTACATACGCGCTGCACTCTTTTTTTCCTTGACCAAGGTTTTGTCCTACTCGATTTTCCTCGACAAGGTTTTTAACGAGACAACATTTTTTGCAATGTTTTTATTTAGTAATGTACATCTAAGGGGACATGTTATGTAATTATGTAGATGTCCATTAATCCAAAGATCCATATGTAGTGGCCCATATCATGATTGTAACTCTAGCTCCGGCCCCTTCCCTTGTGTATTTATATGGCTACATGTGAATGAATGTGATGGCTTTTGATGTTGGTTCATAACATATAAATATTTTTTAGTTCGTTTTTTAGAAATTAAATAATGTGAAGTTCCCTAAAAATAGATGATAGAGTATATATACTTGGACCCCCGGGTCTCACGACTACTAGGCTTGGATACTAGCCCACACACGCTTATCGGATGTCATTTGTATTATTATATTGTTTATATATCATTTGTAGTTGGACTTATCGGGCTCATATTAGCGGCTCAGCCTGTTATTTCTCTATTTATACTCCCAAGGGGAGGCATTGTAAACCTATAACATAATTCATAGTACAACATTACTGTTCATCTTCTTCTCCAATTATGTAGCTCAATATCTCCTACTCCCTCTGTCCCAATATAAAAGGCACACTTTCCTTTTCGGTCCATCCCAATATAAAAGGCACATTTCTCTTTTTGGCAAACAAAACAGTGCAAAACAGTGCCAAACAGTGTCCAAACAGTGCCAAACAGTGTCTAAACAGTGTCAAACAGTGTTCACCCTTAAAAACTCCCCAAACGCAAATGTGCCTTTTATATTGGGACGGAGGGAGTATTATTATACTCCCTCCGTTCTCTAATAGATGAGAGTATAACCTTTGACACAAAATTTAAGAAGAAATTAATAGAATAAAAGGTGTAGTGAGTTGTGTGTAAAGGAAAAAGTAGGAAAGAGAATGAAAAAGTAGAAAAGAGAATGAAGGTATATATGTATATTTATTGAAAAAACTTTCTAAAAATAGAAAGGGATATATGTATTAGAGAACATCTTAAAATAGAAAGAGAGACATGTATTAGAGAACGGAGGGAGGGAATATAAGATTGGATACCTATTATCCATCACTAGAAAACAAGTTATTTCCTCATTTATTTTAAAAAGCTATTTCCTCACACTATTAAAGACAAAATATTTTGAGTAATTACAATCTCCAATTTTTTATGCGATTTTCCAATTCCTTTCAATTAAACTATGAGGTCGTTTAATAATACCAAAATCGGCTGATCGACTGATTCTTCTAAACTTTATGAAGTTCTAGCTGAAGTGGTTGGATTGACTAATTATGCTGATTTATGTAAAAATTATTTTTAAAATATAATTTTTGAATAATATAAAGACAAATTATATGAAAAAAAGTTAAATGATAATCCACAAGACCACAATAACTCCAGCCAATACCCCAGAAAAATAACTACAACCTTACATATTCTAATTATTACACAATTCAGTGCACAAATCAAATTCTACGTGTTTGGTGAAAATATTGTCTGATAAGTCGGATTAGGTGAAAAACTATATATTTAGAGGTAGTTTTTAGTTTACCTAAACATCCTTGTGTTTACTATTTGTATTTTGGTAAAATAGTTTTGACATTAATCCGTTTCATTATTTGTATCCTTGTCCCCATATCACCATATGTGTGTTACGATAGAGGCGGACCCATGAAATTCATCTTGGGAGGACGGTAGTTTAAACAAAAAAAAAATCTTTAGGGGTGAAAATTATTTTTCGTATATATATACACTAAAAAAAATTGTTGGAGGGGCGGTAGCCCCCGGGTCTGTACTACGATCCGCCCCTATGTTACGTACGTGCCTATTTATATCACAGATTCACAGGTGTTAATGAAAAGTGACGACCATGAAAGATATTAAAAAAATGAAGATTATGAAAGCAAATTTGAACGGTTGGAAAGTCGTAATCTCAACCATTTTGTCATATAATGTTTCTAGCGTTTTGTTGTTGTAACGGAAGCCGTTACTTTATCCATTTCATGAAATAGTGACCAAACCCCCCAAAACAGGCAAAACTCCTACTACGGGTTTTTTACTTAAATATTACTCCCTCCGGTTCTAAATAAACTTCACGCTTTCCTTTTTGGGACGGTCCAAAATAAACTTCACACTTCCTTATTTCCTTATTTGGCAAAGATATCTACATCAAAACAGTGCTAAACAGTGCCAAACAGTGTCTCAACAGTGCCAAACAGTGTCTCAATAGTGCCAAACAGTGCCAAACAGTGTCTCAACAGTGTACTCTACAGTAAAGTCAACTTTATTTCCTTAATAACTGTGAAGTCAAACACTGAAGTTTAAAAAGAACCGGAGGGAGTACTAATTTTGAACCAATTACCCAAAAAGTGATCACTTTTAAAAATGGGCAAAATATTGATCAAGAAGGTCATGTATGTGGAATTGGAAAACATAACGTCACTACAAAAATTTTATGTCACTGTGTTCATTTTTTTGTAACTTAGAGTCGTCATCGTCAAATTTTTTCACGCCAATTACACCGCCACCGTCACCACCATAGTGACACTGTCATAGTGACGCCGCCACTGTGACACCGTCACTATCCAATTTTAATGTCACTGTAATCACCGCCCGTGTCACTGTAACCACCGTCCGTGTCACTGTAACCACCGCCCATGTCACTGTCACTACCGCCCGTGTCACTGTCACCATCGCCCGTGTCACTATAGTCACCGCCTGTATCACTATAGCCACCGCCCGTGTCACTATAACCACCGCCCATGTCACTGACGCTGTGAAACATGTCAGTGCAATCATCCGATGACTTTTTCCGGCAAACCCGTCCCCCCCACACCGCCACCCCCGCTGCCACCTCATATCATAGTACACTGCCCCTCATACTGACCCTTCCCATCCCCAGCACCTTTCCTGCCCAGCCCCATGCACCATAAGCCACCATCCCCAGACACCATAAGCCACCATCCCATTACTGCCATTGTTGAACCTAGCCCCCACCATCACCAAACCGTGTCACTGCCCTCCCTAGCCCCCACCAGTCTCCAGTCCTTTCCTTGTCCCAACTTGACCACCACCGTACCAGCTCGGCAGCCCCCTTCATAGTCCCCCTTACCTTCCTACCCCCTCCTCAGTTGGTCTAACCCTTGTCTCCCTAAGCCAAAATTCCAGATCTGCGGCGGATTTATTCAGTGACCATCAGTCCACCCGCCCCTGCACTATCCCCACCCACACAGCAGCCCTCTGTAACACTAATTGTTACCCAAGTCACCGGAGTCGTCGCCGCCAAATCGCCCAGCTCTCAAAGTCAATGCTGCCACCGGAACTGCAAAGCCCTTATTGTCCATTGCATCCTGCGCCGTTGTCAACTCCCACCGTCGCGTCGGATTTACATATCAACCGAGATGTCACCATAGATGCAGAAATTGGGAGGAGAAGAAATTTCAGTCCATGTTTGCAATTTGAAACCGTAGCATCAATTATCAACCTTGTAGTTGTTGATGCCATGAAGTATCGGTGATGTAGAGGAGGAGAACAACAAAGCAAGCAAGTGACCATACTATTCCCGTCCAAAGAAAGTCTGGTAATCGGAAACAACAACGTAGTCTGGTAATGGAGATCCAAATTTGGAACCTCATCGCAGAGCAGCAACGGAGAAGAGCAGGAGAGGAATTTGTCCAATCTGGGAGGGGAAGACGAGGCCATGGGAGAAGAGAGAAGCTTTGCTCGATCTTCGACTGAGCTGTAATGGTGGAGCGCGGATAAGAGGATCTAGCTTTTCTGATCTGGGAGAGGAAGACCTGGCTGGAGCTCTAAGCCTGTGACGAGAGGGAAGAAGTTACGATGCGTAGATCTGGGTCTCGTACAGGGACGGGTCACTTTTTTGTGAAATCGTAAAGTGGTCATATTTTTTGAAATAGAAACTTAGGGAGTAATATTGATGTCATTATTTCTAACAATTAATAACAGTGATCATAATAATAACAATAAATCACAATACTTTTTATTTAAATTAAATTCAATCATTACTCTAATAAAGCATTAAGCATGTCAAGGCCAACCAGAAATCTCATTTTGATTTGAGGCGTAAGTGTATAAAACTAAAACTCTATTCCCTCCGTCACTGGATGGATATGTCTTTAGTTTTAGTTTGAATACCATGCCCTTCAAGAAAACATTTTGGAACCTCACTTTTTCAAATACCCTTGTTGTTGAAAGTAAATAATATGGCAGAATAAATTGTTTTGACATTGTTTGGGATTGCACAATCATTACAAATTAAGGTAAAAGGGCAAATTGATATAGAATTATTGCTCAATCAAACGAGTATTATGCTTATTGCATGTGGCGTTTCAAAAATGTACTTCACACGAAGGATACACTAATTTATATACGAAGTACGTAAGAAGTTTAAACGTTTAAGAATAAAGTTGTGGGCAAAGAGAGCGGAATGAAAGAAGGGCACCATGTAGGTGAGCATGTCAATTGTCTCCCTCGTTATATAAAGATAACTTTTTCATAAAATCACGGATATATCGGTTTAATTTTTAATCTCAAGGTTCAATGTGTTCCAAAAAGTTGAATCCTCAATCTCAAGGCCATCACACTCCAACCCGACTAGACATTTGGAAGGTTGTAAGGCACGATGACTTAGTCAGTCCAATGGTGGTAGACCTTGTATCCATGCACATCAAAGGTCCAGCCCGGCACATAACAACTGTAACCTCCAAACAGTCGTTGCGAGTTACGATCTTTGGTCAATGTTTTAACTTTCTCATCACTCAACCAACGGAAATAGTGTAGAATTAGACAATGAAAGGACACACACATACTATACAATTATTATAAAATGTGTGTTGTGTAGATGACAAATCAAACGGCTTCCCAAATGGAGAACTAGAGTACATTTTTTTTTTCAAAAGTAGAAATCAGGGAGTACTTTATTAGGTGGTAAATGTCTAAATCAACATCTAACAAGCGATCCAACTAACAAGTAACAACCAAAAACAAATTAATTAATTAATTAATCAAACGGTTTCGTCAATGCGTGAGCAGTTTACGGTTCATGCCAACTACCCCTTCTTCCTTTCGGTTACATATCCATCTCTCCCCCAACCTGCTAAACCCTACCCATTCTATATCTATATAATATATATATGTGTAATCCGGATTAGCAATTCATAGAGGATAAATTAATTAACTATTGATTAATTAATTAATTAATTACTTGGCCATGGCGGAGATAGGCGGCGGAAGAGGAAAGGTGAAGGGTTCATGGACTCCAGAAGAAGACGCAATTCTCGTGAAGCTGGTGGAGCAACACGGCCCGCGCAACTGGTCTCTAATCAGCACCGGAATACCTTCACGCTCCGGCAAGTCCTGCCGTCTGCGGTGGTGCAATCAGCTCTGCCCGTCCGTGCACCACCGCCCCTTCTCGCCGGAGGAAGACGCCGTCATCCGGCGCGCGCACTCTGTTCACGGCAACAAATGGGCCGCCATCGCGAAACTCCTGCCCGGGAGGACGGATAACGCGATTAAAAACCACTGGAACTCCACGCTCCGGCGGAAGCGCACCGCCGGGGGTTGTGCGGCGGCGGAGGCGGCGAAACGGGCGTTTGTGGACGATTCGTCGGCCGAGTCACTGTCCGCGGTGAAGAGGGAGGAATCCTGTGCGTCGCAGGAGTACAGTAGAAGCGGTGGGGGCGTTGAGGACGGTGAGCTCCGCCGCGGAGACGCACCGGCGACTTTGCTGTCATTGTTCCCGCCGGGAGGAAATCCGTTCGGTCAACCCGTCGGCGAAAAGTCAACGGCGGAAGAGGAGCCGTTGGGTAACGTATCCGGTGACGGGACGAGTTTTTTAAGTATCATGCAGCGTATGATCGCGCAAGAGGTTCGAAGCTACGTTGACAAATTACGGGCTTCTAATGGGCTTGGGCCCGACTTTAAGCCCGATGTTTAACAATTGCCGCAATTGTTCTGAGTTTTGTAAATCTCGCGCGTCTTTTTAATGCATATTTACGGTTTGATGGGCCATATTTCATTTTCATTTGAAATTACTATTTCAAATTCCTTTTCGATAGGCATGTTTGTTTGTCAGTGAATATAATTGTGATATTATGTTTTTTCATAGATTAAAAATTGAGAAAAACATAAATAGTAACTTTAATTAACAAAAATATAATAGTTTCCGTTTTCAAAAATGTAATTTAACCTGTTTAATTATCCTTCTAATCACTACACAATTACCTATATACTACCTACGTTCTATTTTAACTGCAACATTGTACTTTTGCACTGTTCACATATTCTATTTTGACTATATATTATTTATTGATATATCATAAGTTCAATTGTTTAAAAAAAAATTGAATTCCTCTAATTTTAAATTTTCAAAATTTGAATCTTTTAATGTTTTTACTATTAAGAAATGAAAGATATTAATGATGAAACTTGTGTTTTGACAAGCATGAAAAGTGGGTTGTTACAATTAAAAAAGAACTAAACAAGTACTAAGAACCACCATTAAAATATATTGTGATATATTATTCCGGTCTACTATAGTTCAGGAGTACAATGCATTGCCCACCCTTATATAGATCTCGATCAGTTTGATTCATCTCAACTCACTGGGCCCTTTCTGGCCCATCCGGCCCATTTCGACCCTTTTTGACCCATGAGGTTAGCCTTGTACCACTCCCCCCTTTTTTAGCTTAGAAGCTTGGAGCTCCATTAATAGCTTATAAGGCTCAAACTCTTGTAAAATGGTGAGGGCAAATGAGAGTGACTTGGACATTAGCCTCACGTAAAAATGCAATGTTCATACATATTTATATTTATATTTATATTTACTATTTCGTATGGATTAGTTTCTACAAAACATTAGGCTCAAACTTCATTATTGACAATTCTTCTCATTCGACAACACTAAAAAGTCCAATATAAATATGGTGCAGTTTTTTTAAAGGAGTTATGGTGCATATATGATTATATATACACAAAAATATGTAAAGTTATAAAAATATATGCTAAATTTTGACCCAAGTGTGTCAGTCTTTCTCTTCCACAAATTACATATAAAGGCATAATTGAAGTACAACTATTGCCTACACGGGCAATTTAGTTGGTCACAATGGTAGAATTTATAACAACTTAACAAGTTATCAATGATCGAGTCCTACAAATGGCAGTTTAGGAGCAATCTCTCCACGTTTCGTTAAGAAGTTTAACGGAAATCAGAATAACAAATTGAAACGGGAGGGGATAGAAAATACACAATAGAGCTTCTCTGAAGATGTCTGAACTATGACAACTTCCAAATAGACAGAGAGGTAGGAATCACATCTCTAAGTGGAGATTATTCTGAGGAAGGCGTTTGAACTCCAATGTCCCTCCGATGATTTTGATGGAGTCAACTTCTACATATTGCTCAACCCCTTGCATCTTTGGCGCATCTTAGAAATTGAGTGATACGAATTCAAACTAGGATATGCGGCGATTCAAGTCAAACGAATTCGGAGAAAGCTGGCAAATGGAGTCGATTCAGGAGACGGGTTAGAAATTGACACTCCCATGTATTTTGTCCGACTTCTGGATATCTCCAAGTCCCTTGCATCTTCGATGCAGGGTGTAGGTAGGACGGGTGAGCAAAAATGAGCAATAGATCGCTCTCTCTATCATGTGACTGAAAATGCATATGAAATTGAGCAAAAAAAAAATGCAAGCCTCCACAATATTGCTATTATGTAGAAGGATTATACAATAATTAGATACAGAGTATTGTATTTTCAAACAAACGTTATTCTAATTATTAAATATATTACAAAAACACTTATATGTATATGGCAATAATATACAAATGTAAAGTTTTGCAAATACTGTCCATTAAAGAAACACAACAATAGTGAACATAGATATCATCACAACTTTTCATCTCAAATTAGCAACTTGAACTTTACTGTTAGAACATCCCAATCAGTTCTCATCTTTTTGTTGTATGTTTGACCCACTGGGTCCTTCCAGATGAGGATCAGTTTCATTTATAGTTCGCTACACAATTAATCCAAGAAAAATCATAGAATCATTTGTTTTCATGCTCGTTATTCTTGATTTGTTACAGATGTATGTGCTCTAGTCATTGTGAAAGTTGATCGAAACATGTAGCTTTGACTATCAAGCCATGAAAACCTACTATTACACAATATTCCATTAACTAAAGACCCTAATGTATAGAATCAGCTACTTCCCATCATCCAGAAAAGTAAACACTCAAAGACATGAATTCACTTTGCCTTCTGCTGCACGTACAAATCCATCCGCTTCATCTGCTTAATGGCGATGCAAATTTCTAGCAACACTCATCCAGTTCTATAAAGAAGAAAGACGAACCTTTAAAAATCCAACTCCACATACTATGAACACACAAATCGATATTCACAGAGACACAAATACAATAATATACACCCACTATTGCACCAAAGTCTGCGGTAAAAAGGCACAAAATCAAACTGCTTTCAGACTATGAGCCTGTTTGAGATCACTATATATACAAAAACAAATGGCACTTATTTACCATTTACCTTATCATATATACAACTCTCTTTCCGCCTTTAATTTTATGTCTTAATATTCTTGTTGGTTCATCACTATCAGTGAAGTACGGCCTTTGACAATTTCGTTGCAGCACTTTTATCCAGTTTTATATTCGCCTACATTTGAATGAAGGATAGAAATTAAAATGTTTATTGCAAACTTCATTAAGTAAATACAAGGAGTTAGTTACTGCAAACAAGATAAGCATTGGAAAACAGAAATACTCCTATTCACTTCACTAGTTTATCAATGTACATTATCACTTTGTCCCTTGCATAAAAGTAAAATAGAGCTCCTAAAGCTTATAGGATTTCGGGACCTGATAATGGGCAAGCACTTGCACACTCACAAAGTAATACCTTACCATAAAAGTGAATTATTTTATATCATTGTATAGTTCAAGCTTGAAAAATCACTCACGCTCATTGTGAAACTGAATCATTTATTTCTTTAAGAATGAGTACAAACAAGCTTGTCCCAAGTTAAACTTTATGTGCATGTTAAGTTCTAGATGCAAGAGAAATTGTATATTATTCATCACCCTTGTATATCTAGATAAAATTCTATTAGAACTCACAGAAACTTGAAAATCACTCTAGATAAAATTTTATTTTTATGACAAGGAATGAAACGAAATATTACTCCGTATATCTTGAATATCATTTTTAAATGTATCAAAGACCATTCCACTAGTAAGTATTGAGCACAACAATACACACACGTGAAAATTTACCCTTGCACCTTTTGTAATTGTAATCTAACTAAGTGAAAAAACAAACCAAAAAAGCAAGAAAATTAAGGGAAAACGCAGAAAAGTTATCTTTCAAGACTTTTGACAAAGATCATCAAGGCATATTTGTTAAAATCTTCTCTTCAAGATAAGAGATACCCACAAAAAGTTTCACGTGAAAGAAAACAAATAATCACCTTTAAAACAACAAATACTTCTTCATTCGATACACCCCTAAGGCTCTAACATCCCATAACATCAATCTTCCCTTCTTTGTGACCTTTTTCTTCTACACCTAAAGAGCGAAACCTACAAAAAGAAAACACATGGAAGTACGGAAAACAGATGCATGGAAAAAATCTTGAAATAGAAGTAAAGAAATCTCTCTAAAATGATCATGTGTGGGGGCATATTTATATTGAAGACTGCAATTTGAATTGCATACCTATTATTATAGGTATCTTTGAGCACCCTAGGTTTTCCAACTGTTCTTGATTCGGGCTTCCAGCACGCCTTGGTCAGAGACTCCCCTAATAACTCCGCTACACCCGCAGCCATCGCCTCTGCCTTTTGAAAGTATGGAAACATCCCTTTCTTAAAGTGATTGGACAACCACATGTAAGTAGACAGCACTTGATGTCTCGTCTCCAGATCTAAAAGCTCAGAATCATTTCGAGCAGAACACTTGGGCATTCCCATTGCTATGTTTACGGGCAAGCTCTGCCCATATGAAGATGCAAACCTTAACAAATGGTACATTGCTTTCGGGTCTCTGATGTTAACAGGCGCGAAACAGAAGTTGAAACGGTCTTCTAGAGACAATCCAGAGACTTTTTCCAGCATATTAGCTATTTTCTTTATGTGGCTATGGTTACACATGAAATAAGAATCATCTAACCGGCAATTGGCTCCAAATTTTTCCAGAAGTTCTGAAAAAGTGGCGTTTGGAAGCTGCCCGGCAAACAGTTCAACCTGTTCAACGGAGAGTAAAATAGATTTTTTGTATGATCGATTTCACCTTGGTAAGTACAAAAAAAATTGTTATATGTATGACATAATGTTTGCACCACCAAAACAGAAATGATATGTCGTATATTCTTTACGGAACAAGCGTAGTTTACTGAAATAATAGAGAATTAAATAGTTCAACCTGTTCAAAGAAAGGAAATAGGCCGACTTTCTTAACTTCGTCAAAAGGTTTCTTTAAACATTCAATCAAATACTCCAAATCCTCAAGATGCAAAGTGGTTGTGAGTCCTTCTGGAAACCGGCTTCCCCTTCGGCCTGCTCTTCCAGCAATCTGTTTCACCTGTGATGCCGGAACAGGGACAATTTTGTCCCCATTATATTTTGACAAATTATAAAAAACAACCCTTCTTATATTCAGATTCAATCCCATTCCCACCGCATCACTAGCTACCAAAACATCATACTCGGTATTCGGATCATTAAACAAAGTCGCCTGATGCCGCCGAGTCTCGGGGGGCAATGCTCCATATATAATACAACAGCGGTGTTTCGTGAACTTCTCAATTACCAACTTAACTTCAAATATTTCTCTCCTTGAAAAAGCAACCACACAATCCCCGGACTTCACATTCTTTAAATCACCAAGAAGGGTTTTAGCTTCAACCACTAATGGTTTGAACCGTTCATAATTTTTCTCCACCAGTTCATCCCCAGTTTCAGAACAGATTCTTCTAACGATACTCAAAACACTTGGATCGCCACACAAATGTATCTCATCAGCCTTTAGTCCAAGCAAAGCTCTTGTCCATGCATACCCTCTACAAGAATCAGCCATCATTTGAATCTCATCAACAACTGCCACATCATATAACTCATCTGTAGAAACCATCTCGACAGTACACGCAACGTGGTTAGAGAACGGCACAGATTTCATCTCTTGACCGGTAAGAAGGCTACAATAAACACCTAGAGAGTTGACTTTATCAAAAACTTCCATAGCTAACAACCGCAGCGGACTGCAGTAGATTCCCTTTTTTGCTTCCATGAACCTCTGTAAAGCGTTATATGTTTTGCCACTATTGGTGGGTCCACAATGATATATGATCTTGCGTTTCATTGCCCTGGCGAATGGGAACCAAGTGTGTGGTTTTGTTAAATCTGCTGACTCAACCATAGACCTAAATCTTCTGATTTCATCGGGGAATTGCTCAAAGCAGAACTCAACAAATATTGGAAATAAGAATTTTTCGGCTTCATACGAAGGGCCGAGGGATACTAAATATTTAAAGACATCGGTCTTAGAGTTCTTGTAGAAGAAAGTACTGAATTTAAGAACTGCAGTGGGGAAAAATGAAGCACCGATAAAAATAGCCAATGCCTGATTCGATGCCCATCCGGATTTCGCAAAGCTCCTGAAAATCTCATTGCATGCATCCCAATCCGATCTGGTTTTCTTGAAGCTCTTCGTAGAATCCTTTAGCTCTTGGTATATCTCTACTGGGTCACGGGAAGACAACTCAAACCCCTTTTCAGACGCTATCTTCTTTTTTTCGGTCTCCCAATTACAAGGTGGACCCTCCAAGGCTTCTAATGTGGCAGAACAAGAACCGCCATTTTCAACCTGGGTCGAATATGGGCATTTGCTTAGACTTAAATACCTGAACTTCATGAATTGGGGGAAGTGGGTCTGGAAGAACAGATGCGAGTAAAGTGATCTGGGTTGGCAGGAGGGGTAATCATGAAAGTTATTTGACTCTGGAGGGTAGGAATAGATGTAACGAGTTGAAAATTTGAATATTCTGGCCCTATAAAAGTTTTTCTCGGAAAATGGACAGAGATTAAACAGGAGTTTTCTCGCAGGGCCTCTCGCCATTGAAAACAAAATACAACAGGACTAGAAGGGGAGAAATTTAATATGCATTACAATGGATGCATTAAAGGTAAAATAAGCAAAATTAAAGGGAAATATAAAGAAAATGAAGCATGCCTCAACTAGAGATTGAGATCAATGCGAATGGAAGAAGAGAAAAGATGGAGGGAATGGGGAAGTGACAAATAAAACAAAAACCCAGACAGTTTGAAAGAAAAAGAGGTGGTTGAAGGTTTATGGCTTAACAATTTGATAAGATTTTGGTAGTTTAACAGCTCGATAAGAGGGACAAAGGTTCATATAGAATTAGTTCCATCCAAATCAAATCAAACTGTCCCTTCTATATAATCTTACTACATGCAAAAGGAGAAAAATCTGGGCATTTTCTGCTGAAATATACGGGTCAAATATAGGCCAAATTCTGGTCACTAACAGTGAAGCACTGCCTTTGACACCTCCATTGCAGCAACAGTTGCACTTTTATCCAGTTTTATATTTGCCTACATTTGAATGAAGGATAGAAATTAAAATGTTTATTGCAAACTACATTAAGTAAATACAAGGAGTTAGTTACTGCAAACAACATAAGCATTGAAAAATAGAAAAACTCCTATTCACTTCACTAGTTTAGCAATGTACATCATCACTTTGTCTCTTGCATAAAAGTAAATTAGAGCTCTTAAAGCTTATAGGATTTCTAGACCTGATAATGGGCAAGCAATTGCACACTCACACAGTAATACCTTACCATAAAAGTGAATTGTATTATTTAATTATATAGTTCAGGCTTGAAAAAACACTCATGCTCATTGTGAAACTGTGAATGATTTATTTCTTTAAAAAGGAGTTAAAACAAGCTTGTCCCCAGTTAGAATTTATGTGTATGTAAAGTTCTACATTACTACATACAAGTGACATTGTATATTATTCATCACCCTTATATCTAGAGAGAGAGAGAGATAAATTTCTATTACTAGCTCCATCCAGTTCAAAGATACCATTTCAAAAATGACACGATTATTTAGACAATTATTAAATATGCTAAGTTGAATATACTTTGAGAAATAGTTTTGATGGATATAAATATAATGTGTTATTGATGATAACTGTGATGTTATAGATATATTATTTTTAATATTTGATGATTAAATTGTTCTTTAAGAGTGTTAATTGTTTCATGAAATAGAAAATGGGAACCTTTAGCTGGGACGATTAAAAAAGAAAAGTGAGAACCTTTTAATGGGACGGAGTCACGGAGGGAGTAGAATATACATAAACTTGAAAAACATATATTCTAGATGAATTTTAATTTACATGACAAGCAATAATACGAACTAAACCATATATTATATCTTGAATATCTTTTTGAAAGTATCGAAGACCATTCCACCATCAAGTACTTGACCACAACAATAGACACACACCTGATACTTTACCCTTACACCTTTTGTAATTGTAATCTAAACCCAGTGGGAAAATAAATCAATAAAGCTCAAAAATTAATGAAAACACAAAAAAGTTACCTTTCAAGATTTTTAACAAGCACCTTCATGGCATATTTTATAAAATCTTCTCTTCAAGATAAGAGATGCCCACAAAAAAGTTTCACATAAAAGAAAGCATAGACTCACATTGAAAACAACAAATACATCTTCACTCAATACATCACAAAACTAGCAATGGTTTTGAGATTTAATTGGGTCGAGGTAATAAAACTAGGGGTCGCTGAATGGGGTACATCCTCATTGTATGATGTTTTGGTACGTAGTAAGGTTAAGTATGTTGAATTCAGTTAACAACTTAACATGTCACCTGTTTAATAATTTAGTCATTCTCTTATTTGCAATTAGACCACACTTTTATCTGGAGTATTTCATATTTCAGTTTTTAGCCAATTCCCCTTCTTCTTCAATTCCCCTTTGTCATGTTTTAGTTATTTCTTCGTTTTTATGGCGGTAAGACGTAAAGCAAAAGTTGAATTCTCTCCGAGCAAACAAATTTGCGGCCATGTTTTCGGTGGTTGATTGCCGTTGGAAGTCGAAATTTGGAAGCAGAAAAATCCATCTTTTTTCGAATTGGAAAATTCTGTATGTCTCCAAGAATCCGAGATATGTTCTTCTCTAACTCCTTCCAACTTTTATAGTCATTTTATCAAATCTCCCGCTGACAAAATTCTGGCTAATTGCGGGAAAGTAAAATAAAATTTTCAGAAATTTAATTCCGAAAACGAGGTTCTAAATTTGGAGCGAAATGACAGTTTGCACAAATAAACGGAATACCTTGAGCTTTGACGTCAACAACTTACAGCACGAGCCGACTTCCACGTTCGGCAGAGGCTCTCCGGCGGATTGGTCGCCGGACGAAAAGTTAATGTAGCCCATATGAAACCCCTAGCAGTCTTTTAATCTGGTACTTGCAAACATTTTTGTTTAGATTGAGGAACATTTTTGTTTCATTGAACAAATTTTATTGTGGATTCTGTTCTTTTTTTTATCATCGGACCTCTATTCATATCAAAAGATTCAGGATCATTACATCAAACAAAAGGAAAATAAAACTGACATCAACTGAAACTTCAACAACTACGACTGTAATCCTATGGTGAGACTTTGAGACGGTCACCCCTGAGAGAGCAACATGAATCGCTAACCATGTAGTGGGCTTGACACAGCCAAACCTATTCTCATAGATCCAAGTATCCAACCATACCCAATGACATAAAGAGAGGCAAAAAACTCAAACAAACTGTCAAACCCAACAAAAAAAGTGGACACAAGAAAACAAATAACAAACAGATAAAAACTACAAGAAAAGCATTCACGAACTCTAGCACCTCGTACATCCCATGGTGGTGGTTCAGGAGGAGGTCTTACCACCGGTATCATGCTAATTGATACTCCGTGACCTTTGACTGCCAAAGGCCATGCATCAATCCTCCGTCCCTGCATAACCAAACTCATCACTGCCCCATGCAACCAGAGTAAACGGATAGACGGCGCTGATCTTCTCCAACGACGATAACAATGCATCATCCTCGAACCTTGATCACAACGCCGATCACCTCGAGCCATGACAACAAATTCGCCCTTCGAGGACGAAGCACAAACAACTAGGGCTGGGACTTTGGAACCAAAAACCGGAGAACCGAACCGGACCGAACCGTTATGACCCGGTTCGGTTCGGTTCCAACATTTATTAGTTATTTGTTAATGGTTCGGTTCCTAATTTTTATTAACGGTTCGGTTCTCGGTTCCTGAAAGAAATATGTACCAAGAACCGTTAAGGAATCGTTATATATAATAATTAAAATTAAATATATTTTTTATGAATATATATATTGTAATGTATATTTACTTATTTATTTTTATATTATATTCATTATTTTAGTTTAGTTATTTAACTATTTAAAACTATTATTTATTTCAACCGGTTCTCTTAGGCTTCTTAGGCCTCTCATTAGGTCCAAACTCCAGCTGGTCGGAACTCGGAAGGTCCAGAGTATTTAAAATTATTATTCTCTTTAACTGGTTCAGCATATATGTATTGAGATTTTGAACGTTGAATGTCTTTTTGGCAAAAATTTAGTCGTGATTTGTAAGAATTTTTTCAAAGACTAGGAACCGTTAAATGACAAGAACCAAACCGTTAAGAACGGTTCGGTTCCTTATCGGTTCTTTAAAATAATTTATAAGAACCGAACCGTTAGTAAAATTTCATATTTTCAAACGGTTCCACATATTTTGCCTAGGAACCGAACCGGTCCTAGGCCTACAAACAACAACAACCGTCCTTCGATTAAAATCGAAGACGGAAATAGCGGCCGTCCTTCGATTAAAATCGAAGACAAAAAAAGCGGCTGTCCTTCGATTAAAATCGAAGACGGAAAAAGACTCCAAGCGGCCGAAGCCCTAGAGAGAAGCGAGAGACGATCTATCTTTTTTCCTGTTCTTATAAATTATTTGTAGAATTAATCATATTTTTGTTCTTAAAATTTCTAAAATCTTCCATAAATCATCATTAAATTTGTGCCACATAAAGACATTTAACGTTTTAAATTATAAGAAATACAAATATGCTCAAGGTTATCGTTATTTCAAACTTCAAAATTTAAGTTTCAAACATACGTACATAACAAACCATATATTTTTGTAAAAAAAAAAGACATTCACTACAAGAGGGATCGATTAAATACTTATCAAGTTATCAACTCTATTAACTAAACTACATTGAGCACAATTGGGATTGAGTGGTTAAGAGATGGCGACTTCCTCGGATCTAGTGGCAGAGCCGCCGCCTCCACCGATCAATGTCTGGTCAGGCAAATCATTTGGCAACGTTGTTGCGAATAAACCTCAAGGCACACTATCGATTAAGATTCCATCGAAGCATAAGGGGATGCCTGCAGTCACCTTCCCGGAGAGTGATATCAGCATTTTGGCAGAGAGGTATAAGAGATCCTTAATCGGGTACTTCTACAGAGGCAGACCAAGCTTGGAGTTGATCAGGAAAGGCTTTGAGATCATTGGCTTCAAAGGATCTTTCCATTTAGGAGTACTGGAACGAAAACATATTGTGATTCGGTTTGATTCGGATGAAGATTATTTCAGATGTTGGAATCGACAAAGCTAGAACATTCATGGCTATGTGATGAGGGTGACCAAATGGACCCCATATTTTCGCCCGAATGTTGAGTCACCGGTGGTGCCGGTTTGGATTGCTTTGGAGGGTTTGCCCCTTCATCTACAGGACAAGAGGACTCTTTTCGATATTGCGGGTTTGATTGGGAAACCCTTGAAGATTGACTCGACTACAACTAATTTATCTAGGCCGTATGTGGCTCGAGTGTGCATTGAACTAGATCTTACTCAAGTGATGCCGCAAAAGGTTTGGATAAACTGTGGGAATTTTGGATTTGCTCAACCAATTATCTATGAACATAGGCAGGAGTATTGTTCTTTCTGCCTACATTTAGGTTATTCACAAGATAAATGTCCTAAACGTAATGTTGAGGCTCCTAAGGCAGTCATGTTACCCAAGGTAAATCCTATGCCTAAGTCAGTACCTAAAGAAAGGTGGGTGGAGAAGAATACAAGAGATAAACAGGTAAGGTTTACTGCAGAAGAGAAAGGGAAGGGGGTTATTACAAATGACACAACAAATATGAACACACAGTCTACTTCTTCTACTTAAAATACATGCAAAGATTTGATGGTATACAACCAGACCCCATCTGATGGTCCCAGATAGAGGTAAAAGTCTAGGGGGGTGAATAGACTTTTAAAGCTTTTTCAACTTTAAGAAGTTTCCCTACCAGATATGATGATCAATAACCTTTTGAGAGATTAAAGATCCACAGCGAAAGTCTATACCTCTATGCATATAACAACTTTCTATTAGTAAGTGGACAAGGAGAAGTTTGAGAGATGGTCAGATAAGTTTTATGATCTCAAAGGAACCTAAGTGAAGTGTTAGAGTGAGGTAAAATGAACGTTCCTTATTTTCAGAGACAGAGGTGCTTGGTGGCAGAGATGCTCTGGACAGAAGGTCTCAACTAGAATACCTTGGTATGATGTTCTGGTGTCTTCGTGAAAGAACCCTTCACGAGGTCTTCTGTTGGCCTCAAAACAGAATCTCTCACGAGGTCTTCTGTTGCACTTTGAAGGTGATAGTATAACTTAGAGACTTCTGTTTTAAGAAAGAGATCTTAATGAAAAGTGAAGAAGACTTCTAAAGCATTGAGATGTATGCTTAGCAGAGAGGTGAGCTGACATTCATGTTATTTCCATAGTTATATTTGTGTTTTTGATTAGTTTTGAGTGATTGTTACTCTAGAAATTACACACTTTTGGTGTAATAGTTTAGTTTGTAAAATGTTTGTAAAATTGTTTAGATTAGGTTAATTCTGAGCTCAAACAGGTCCAAGACCACTCTAGGGACCATTGGTGAACATCACAAGTGGAAGGAAGGTGCAAAAATTCCAAGAAAAATGAAGATCCTGATTTTTGGTGTTGTACCCGGTCGAGTATGACCTATACTCGATCGGGTAAGTCGCTGAAAAATCAAATCGGATCAACCCGGGAACAAGGCAACATGCAGGGGACATTTTGACCACGATCGAGTGTCCATACCCGATCGGGTAGCCGACATACTCGATCGGGTATGTCCATGTTTTTCCAGCTTCCGCGAAGCAACTGAAGGCCCGGTCGAGTACCCTACATACCCGATCGGGTACACGACCCTGCAGGCCTAAAAATCCTATAAATACACCCCATTTCCTCCACAATAAATTACCAATTCCTATATACTTCTAAGCTCAGTTTAGACAAGTTATTTCTTTATATTTTCTTCATGTTTAGTCTCCAATTGAGGAGCTAAACTCTTCCATCTTGGTTTTGCTACTTTGAAGCTTAATGATTTGTAAGTTGTGAGTTATTTTCTCTAATCTTCTTTCTTGAATATTAATTACTTCCTATTCATATTCCATATTAATATATTGAAGCATTACCTAAAGGATCAACTAGTTTTGTTTCATATATTAATTATTACTAGAATCAATAGGTTAATACGCTTGTTATTAATTCGGTTCTTTCAATGGTAGTAAACTTGGATTGTTAATGCATGCTTCTCATGGTTAATAAGCCAAGTGGAATTAATTATATTGATTAAACCAATAAACCGCTTGTGTTGAGGTTATCAATCTCAATCGTTTTCATCTTAAGTTTATTGCTACTATCAAGTTAATATACGACGCTTGTTCTATGTTGACTCGATAGTAAGTTTTATTAATGAACGCATCTCGTTATTAATAACTACCCTCGATGAATTGGATATACTCCTCGATTGAGTATTCGAGAGGAAGATAGTTAAAGATATAACCGGGATCGACGAACATTTCATTAAGTGGATAAAAGCAAAGCCAAGTCTCCTTCTCATTAATTAAACCACATAACTCGTTCATCTTCGTGTTAAAAAGATAATTTAAGTTCATCAACCAAACATAAACCCCCCCTGTCATTACTTATCTATTTCTATAAAAAGAGAAGTGTTCCTTTCCCTGTGGATACGAACCTTACTACACTATACTACGTATTAGTGTCGTATTGTATTTATTTTGAGTGCATCTCACGACAAAGTGCACGTCATGAGCAGACGAGTGGGCAGTAGACTGCTGCTGAGGTTACTGATCACGTTTCTGCTAAGTTGAAGAAGTGTTTGGTGTGTGCTTTGTTGACTGAAGATGAATCAACACATAATATATCCTGGTTCAGAGGTGGTGTAATCCTCCTACATCCAGTCCCACTCTCTTTCAGATGGATTTCCACTAAAGTATTAAGCCCAATACACTTGGTGCCCGCCTGGCTGTTATCACACAACAAGCTCAGACCTAAAGGTGTTTCACTAGGAGTACACACCACTCCAAGTTACTCGATCCTTAGATTTTCTCAATTGATCCAGTGGGGATCAAAAGGTACTCTATTCTATTCTACCACACTTAGGACTAGATAACACTGTCCTTCTAAGTGTTTACAACATTTTCAAATGTAACACAATTTGTAGCCTCCAACTAAGAACTAAACTTCCAGAATATGGCAATGAGAATTCTAACTAGGAAGTTTAGTGAAACGTGAGTCTAAACAGAGAGCAACGTTAAACGAGCACTTTCTCTTTTGCTAGGTATCTCTTTGAATGCTTAGTATGATTTCTCTGATTAGAAGACTCTCAAAGCTTGAATATGAACTCATGCTTATGCCTTTATTTATAGGCATCTCCGGTTGATTAATCTCCTCCGTTGGTTGAAAGGTTTTAATCGTTGACGTCCACAGTATTGTACTTTCGTCTTCTTGTGTTGGAGCAGATTATCTTCTTTAGCTGCAATTGGATCAATTTGCAAGTAGGATATATGAACTCATACCTTAGGCCTTCTACGCACTGTTCACCTACTTATAGGTTTTGGCTTTGCATGCATCTCTGCGTGTGTAGTGTCCCGTGCTCTTGTAGATACTCTGGACTTAGTAAATTTGTGACTTCAGTCTTTTTGTATCAAATAATTTTGTACTGGTAGGATTTAAATATCCTTTTAAGGTAAAGAAAAATTACCTTATTGCTTTTTATATTTCCAGTGCAATTTATTTGGTACAGAAAGTGTACATGTAAATTTGTCACAATTTACTAGTTGAATTTTAGTGACAAGTCAATCTTTATATCAAATAAAGTTATACTGCGCACATATAATGTGCATATAATTGGGAAGGCATCTTCTAATTTGTTTACCCACAATTATATGGAATCTCAAACTTCTTTGGTTGATAACTATGTTTGTTAGGCTGCATTTTAATTAAGTGAGTTAGTTAGATTGAAGTTAAAAAAGTATAAAAACAGTGATGGTGAACACTGAAACTCACTTCCCGGTTGCATTTACACCAACATTGGGCTTTTCAAATTGTGCAACTGATACAGGTCTGAAAGGGTCCAGAGGTGATTCCCCCCCAATTAAGATGAGCGTATACTTCCGGCTTCCATTCTTTGGGATACTGTTCAGTATCTTCATTTGAAATGTGTGTGGCAGCATTGTCTTCTAGTGGATCCTCACCAGTTTCAGGTGTTGATGAGTTATTCTCATTGGATAATGGTTCGAGGTTTTGGAGTGTTGGAATTACACGTTGTTGGTTATTTGTGGCTGACTTCGTATCTCTCAGACCATGAGACTGGCTATATTGGGACGGAGGCGGTTGGAGAATTTGCCTATTTTGCCCGACTGGCCAGGATGTACTTTTTCTGTTCACTGCAAACGGGGTAGATGACCTTGAGTGACTGTGACTTGCTGGTTGTTTTGAGATACTTGTGCTGCCGATTTTTTCTTGGGTTTTGTTAGCTCCTGTCCTATTTAGCATGGCGGCCCCAAATCCTTTTGTCGGAATCATGTTAGAACTTCTTTATTTATAGAAGTAGCACCCTTTAAAGCACCAAGAATCAAGTAAATCATCAAGTATAATAGATAACAAAAATTAATAAATTCATGGATTCAAGGGTTAGAACAGTCAAAACAATACACATCAGCTCTCATATTTTCGCAGCAAAAAGTCCATTCTTTTACAAGGTATTAATAATGCCACCTGTCGATTCTCTTCTTTGTCAAAACAAGTCACACAGCAAAAAGTCAAAACAATACACATCAACTGATCCCCTCCCTCTTCTTTCTCCACAAAAGTCGCGACATGCATTGAATAACGTATGAAGTCGAAATTGACTGTTCACATCCACGATCTTGTATCATGGATGGACCCGTACACCTCTATCTGAAGGTTCGAACCATTCACATTTGAAGACAATTATTTTGTAATCCTGATATTCCAGCTGAATTATTTCTTGTATTGAGCCATAGTATTCGAGTGTTGATCCATCATAACTTGTGCACTTGACCATAACCCCGCAGTTGGAGGTTGTTCTAACATGAGATCTTGTAATAGTGTTGAATTTATAACCATTTATATTAAGTGCATGGTAGGTTGTCACATAGGTAGAAGGAAACCCAGATAAAGCACGAACCCACCGGGGATGATTGGTCATGTCATTTTGCACCTAAACATAAACAGCACAAGCATATCCTTTTTAAGAAATAATTAACTATAAAATCTCACATGGTGATAAAACCAAAGAGGGAATTTTGTTTGCAACAAGGCATCATAGGAACTTATTGACCTTGTTGTGTTGAAGAACATTCTGTAATAAAATTGAAAAAAAATATTAAACCACATTTCACATATATGTGTATGTGTGTAATTTAAATATTAAACCACTTACTCTCTGAATGATTCAATCTCCGGATAGTTTTAGAATACATATGAGTGGACAGCATTGGATTCATTTTGATCCATATACCGCCTCGTGCTTGCACCAATTGTTTTTGCCTTCTGTGCAAAAACTGAAACACTAAAATCAGTGTTAATCATGCAACCATCATCAAACCTGGGGATACGATGTGCTTTTGTGGTTACATCCTCCGGAAAGTAATAGCTTGCAAATGTTCCCATTTCACTTTGCAAATAACCTTCCCTAATAGATGCTTCAACCCTAGCTTTATTTCCAACTTTTGTCTTTAGCACTGATCCCGAGAAACTACAAAAATGGTAAGAAATAAGATATCAAGTAAAAAAACATATGACTATATAATATGTTTTAACATCTACATTTCAAAACGATACATCCATCGATATTGTGGAGGCCCCCCGAGAAAGCTCATCTGGTAAGTGCACAACAAGATGTTCTATAGGATCAAAGAATGAGGGTGGAAAAATCTTCTCCAACTTGCACATGATCACGGGGATATCTTCCTTTAACTTCTCAATGCCACGGACCAATATAGTCTTTCTTGTTAGCTCACGAAAGAATAAGCTAATCTCCGTAATGGCCTCCCAAATCCAATCAGGTAGCATCTCTCTGAAAGCAACTGGAAGTAGGCGTTGCATGAAGACATGACAATCATGGCTCTTCATACCAAATACCTTAAGTTTGTCCATTTGCACACAACGCCCTAATCGAGAAGCAAAACCATCTGGGAACTTTAATGAATCAATCCAGTTGATCAAGACACCTTTTTGTTCATTTGAAAGGGGGAAAAGAGCTTTAGGGTATTTCCCCCGAGAGTCTCTCTCCATGCTCGGCCTATGACAAATTTGTTCCATATCTATTGTCCCTTGCGTATGATCCTTCGATTTTCCTGGTACTCCCAAAATTGTATAAAAGATATTTCAAAGAAATTCTTCTCTATGTGCATGACATCAAGGTTGTGTCGTATGAGCAAATCCTTCCAGTATGGGAGATCCCAAAAGATGCTACGCTTCTTCCATCTAATATCTTTTCCAGCAACTGCATTATGCTCTACACCACCTAATTCAGTAACTGACATAAAATCATGGGAAAAGTACAGAAAACGTACCTGTGGTTTGGGCCATTTTCAGATAGGGGCATGTGTTTCATTTTTTGACAAAGTGGGGCATGTGTTTCAATTCCGTTATCATAGCAGGGGCACGGCGTCTAACGCCGTTAGAAAAATTAACTCCGATTTTAAAAAGTCTCCGAAAAATTAAAAGAAAAATACTGGGAGGTGCGCCTCGTAAAGGAGATCAACAAACTATCTTTCTCTTTGGATTTTTCGGCTCTATTTGGATTATTTTTTAAAAACAAATTCGCTAATATCAATTTTTTGGTGGACTTTCTGGAGATATGGTGGCTGGAAACAAAAAAATAAAGATAGTTTGTTGATCTTCTTGACGAGGCGCACCTCCCGGTATTTTTCTTTTAATTTTTCGGAGACTTTTTAAAATCGGGGTTAATTTTTCTAACGGCGTTAGAGGCCATGCCCCTGCTATGATAACGGAATTGAAACACATGCCCCACTTTGTTAGAAAATGAAACACATGCCCCTATCTGAAAATGGCCCAAACCACAGGTACGTTTTATGTACTTTTCCCTAAAATCATTTACCTCGTCATAGCAGTACAACCCATTCATGTGAATCGGAGGACCATACAAGATTGATTTACCTTTAGTAAAGTTATTTTCATCAAACCGAAATGGATGGTCACCTGGTAGAAACTTCATATGGTTATCAAACCAACTATGGTTCTTACTGTGGGGTAGCCAGAATGCTCCGGTAAACTCAGTACAATATGGAAATGCAAATTTTCCCTTTGTGGTCCATCCTGATAACATGGCATATGCTGGAAGATCACTAATCGTCCATAGGAAAATCGCTCTCATATTAAAGTTATGCTTTGAAACTACGTCATATGTTGTGACACTAACCTCCCACAATTCCTTAAGCTCCTCTACCAGTGGTTGCAGGTACACATCGATCCCTTTCGCTGGATTCCTTGGTCCTGGAACTAATATAGTTAAAAATAAGAATGCTTGTTTCATACTTAATGTATTGATAACATTATCTTTGAAAGCATATGCATTGACACCATTTGTACCTTAAAAAAAAAAAGAATTCTTGTTTCATACACATACCTGGAGGCAAATTATACAGTGTCACAATCACAGGCCAACATGAATATTGTTGTCCAAATTGACCAAAAGGTTGCAACCCATCTGTGCATAGACCAAGTCTCACATTTCTCGGATCTACAGCAAACTCTGGATTAACATTATCAACATGAATCCACGCTTTTGCATCCGACGGGTGGGACATTACTCCTTCCTCACTGTGGTGAAATTTATGCCACCTCATATCATCGGCTGTAGTAGCTAAAGCATAGAGTCGTTGTAGCCTAGGAGTAAGAGGAAAGTCCTCCATTTTTGCAAGTGGAATACATTTATTTGACTGGTTGCTAATGTCATACCTTGCAGTTGAGCAAAATTTACACCCCAGTAACTCACTATCTGCTCTCCAATATATCATGCACCCGTTCGGGCAACCGTCGATGGATTGATGGCTCATTCCTAACACATATAGTTTTCTTTTGATTTTGTTGAAATTTGGAATTGGTTTGTTTGGGATGCTTGATGGGAAAAACCTATTTACGAATTGAGAAATTCTATCCGTTACAGCCTCTGATAAATGCATCTCAGTCTTTAAATTCAGCATTTCTGTCATTGCACTCAACTGCGTCACCGGACAGCCATCGAAACACGGTTGACTCATTGTATCCAACATTTCGTACATTTGTGTTGTGATAGGACAAGGTTCATCTGCACCCTCACCATGATCAAATCCCGTTGGGAGTTCATTCCTTATTGCATCTTCAAACATTGATTTGCACGGATCATATTGCCTTTCAGATGTATTGCCATGAGCTGAGCTACTTTCATCCAAATAAACTAATCCATTTGAATTATGTGGCTCCCCATGTGCCTCCCATACATAATAATCTTCCACAAAACCTTTTTCAAATAAATGCTCCCTAACAATATCCCATGTCATCCACTTTTTGTTCTTACACTTTCTACAAGGACATGCAATAACACCACTTTGATATAAGTTTACCGCAGTTTGGATAAATTCAGTAACTCCTTCCTTAACTTCTTTATTTAGAACTCCTCGTCTTGCAAGCCTTTTATACATCCATAACTCATTGTAAAACCTATACAAGATATATATAGTATTACACAATATTATTGATTCATATGACTAAATACTTTTTTTAAGGGAATATCACTAAAAATTTATAAGAACTATTTAAAATGTAATTATTATTTTTACACAGTAAATGAAACATCAACCTTTTTTGTTTATATTTCTTAACTAATAACAAAATTAAAATTTTCATTTATATTTATCATTTAAATTACTCAAACTAGGGCCCACAATCTCTATATTTTAAAAAATCAACAAACTATCATACATACACATTCACTTGTTGAACATATACTAAAAAGAAATAATTGTTTTTACACACTCTTCACATTAACCTAACATTAAAAGTTCATCATATTTTATGTAAATATAAAAACATGAATTAACAACTAAAGTAATATCTATTTTTTACTATCACTAATGAAATGGGCCATTTTTCCCAAACATTACCTAAATCTACCAAAAGGACTATTAATCTTTAAATTAGTTTATATAATAAATTATTCAACAACATGATATAACAAATTCTAAAAGATGGAGTAATAAACAAAACTTATTTAAAAAAAGGACTTCTAAAAATCAATATAATTTGTATATTTAACAAAAAAACAGGATATCATATATTTAGTTCAAATATTTAAGGATAGCATTATATATAACTAATTAATTAATATAAGAAAATTAGAAATAGTAAAAGTCAGAGTTCTAACCTTACATCCTGCCCACATCCATATTTTAGAGAGATGAAGATAAGATGTGGGTGTGTGGAATGATGTGTCACTCGTTTGTGGTGTATATGTACTTCATTCTAATTTTAGTGGCGGAAAAATCCGACACTAATTAGTGGCTGAATAATTCCGACACAAAATCCGCTACAAATTAGTGGCGATCCGTTTCCGCCGCAAATTACTGGCCGATAAACTTCTGCCATTAAGTTCCGACACTGATTGTGGTCAGATATGCAGACCGACACTAAAATCCGACACTAATTTCCGGATTTCTTGTTTGGAATATAAGATAGTATAAACATAGGATGTTTTCTTTTGGACTGTTTTCAGTCCCAGACCAGACCAGACCAGACTAGACCAGACCAGACTTCCGTAGTTATAAATTACACAGAGGTCAGACGTTTACCAGACCAGACTAGTTCAGACCAGACCAGACCCGACCAGATTAGACCAAACCAAACTAGCAAATTTCAGTCCAAAAGAAAACATCCTTAAAATTGGTATTTCTAGCAATTTTCCTTTAACGATTTTTTTGCACCTAAAATATTGCTTCCGGTCACACAGCTTACGTGACCCAAACAGTCCCCTTAACTTACGTTGCACGGGAAAAAGAAATGTAAGAAACCTGAAACGAGTAATGAAACATTTGACTCTTCTAATATGATATGCTAATAAGACCCCTAAACATGATATGCTAACGTCGTTTTTAAGCTAATAAAACATTTGTAATAAAGGTTTTTAAAATTGCATCATTACATACAACGAATATGACTCTTCTAATATTCAGAAATCAGAACTCCAAAGTTTGAATTCAACCTCCATACCTAATTTATACGTCTGTACTAAAATATAGCCCGGAAAAATAAAAGGTTGGCTCGTATAGTAGATGCTACTTTAAATTAGATTATTTGAATGTGGTAGACATAATTGTTTCTATTATTTTAATGGTTACGTATAAATTGCTACGCAGTCCAAATTTAGTTTTTACACTGTAGATCACTTTTTAATTCCCAATTATCTAACTTTCAAATTCTCCGTATGAAATAATTACATACTCCCTACATTCTTTTTAAATGCAATATTGGACTTTTTCCACTAGTCACATGCTCTACTTTGAGTCTATTTTATTTACTAATGTATTATACATTATATTATAAAAAAATGTTAAATTCCTCTCATTTTAAATTTTCAAAATCTATTTTTTTTTTAATTTTTTTACTAATATGGAGTAAAAGATATTAATGGTCAAACTTGTGCGTTGACAAACGTAAAAAGTGGATTGTTGCATTTGAAAAAGAATGGAGGAAGTATTTATGAATTAAATAAATGGTGCTTTACATTGTGGCATCATAAATGTAAATGACCATGTTTACATTTACATGACCATGTCAATTTACTCATCTTAACTTTACTTTGGACTTTAGTCAGATTTTTATAAATAAGTTTTATGTCATTTTTTTAAAAAACGCCTCTTTAAATATTAATGATAAACTGGTAAAAAAATATTAATGATAAAGAAAACTTCAAGGTGATTTCTCGAATTAAATAGTCACTTATATTTCTGCGAAAAACGAAAATTACTTATGATATTTCAGCGAAATACGAAATTACTTAATTGCATCTCTGCTTGAAATCAACTATCATATTTTATTTTGACATTCTCATATATTAATATTACAATATCACAATACTAATTTTAATTTTTAGTATAATAACAATATGATTTTGATATGATAACATTTACTCATATTTCTGAAAATTTGTACTCGCATTCAGGGACACAACCAATTTTATTCCGATTTACGCAAACTCCACAACCTTACTCAAATAGTCAAATCAAGGACACTTTATTTAATTTAAATATTATTAGATTTAAATACCATTGTCCATTAGTTAATCATCATAAATTATAAATAGCAAAATTAGTTGCGAGTAACAATGGTGGGCCGTGGGCACACGATTTTGGAATTGAATATCCATAGTAAATAAATAAAGATAATACTAGTACTAAAACGTATGTTAAAAAATTAGAGTAATTATACCTACTTGGAAAAAATGGAGGCTATCTACATTTTGATAATTCCTTCCGGAACAAGTTTTGGATTAATTTTCATAATTAGAATTTACATACTCATAGATTACATTAAATTATAGATTCTATTAAATGACATAAACACAAATCAGAAATGATAGAAAATACATATACATAATCCAACTATGATAAAAGTTTTACATACTCCGTATAAAAATATAAAATTTGACATTAAAATAGTCCATAAACCTACTAGAATACTAGCCGCAATAATTGGAGTTTTTTTCCGTATTAATGTTAATTAATTAATTATTTACGAAAATAGGGTTGGGTTAAAAGTATTTACCAAAATACTGCTGGGTTAACCATGGTCGGGGTAAGTCGCCCAACGGTTGGGCGACTTATGAGTCGCCAAACGGTTTGGCGACTTATAAGTCGCCCAACGGTTGGGCGACTTTCCCTTAAGTAAATTCATCGCAGTGCCCCAAAACAGATCTGTGCGTAAAACATTTCCCAAAACCACCAACCCGCAGCGACGAACGGACGAAGGACGAAGACGACCGAGCCACTTCTAACTCCGGCGAACCTCCATCTCCGGCGACCCCACTCCGGCAAACCTCCATCTTCATCTTCAACACTCTTTACTCCTTATTCTAGGTAAATCCAAATCCATTTCATATAATTTTGCACTTAGGGTTTAGAATGTTAATTTTTTTTAATTTTGGGATTATGAATTGATTGTGAATGAAGTTGTTGTGAAATGTGGATATGTATGAAATGTTGAAATTTGATTTTAAATTGTTTGTAAATTGTAATGTGTATTTTGACATTTGGGCATTTGGGTATAGTTGAATGTACCTAAATTTGGGTAGATATCAAAATTTGGGTAGTTTGTTTTTGAAATGTGAATTGTTTGTGAATTTGGAGTTAATGATATATTACAATTTTGGAAGCAATTTCTATTAAAAATGTGAATGTGTATAAAGTGTGTATATTGATGCCTACTCATGAATGTTGGACAATGAATTGTTATTAGAATATGGATTTCTCAAACTTCCCACTCGTGTGTCATTGGGGAGGGAACTATTATGAGAATGGTGGGCAAATATGCCATGAAGGTGGCAGAACGAGCTTTGTCATGGTTTCTCGTGGCGCTTGCATGCTCGAGATCCTTCAAAAAATACATGCAGCCACAATGATTCATCCCGATCGTTCATTGCGGTTGAAAATGAAATTTCCCATGAACGGGGGAAAGTACATGCTTATGCCGCTCATTGATGAGCTAGCTATAACAAATATGTGGGGCATAATTCAGATGGAGGATATGTCAACGCTGGAGATATACATTGAGGAATCCTGTGACACTTATGGTACTCAATCAACATCACATGCTGTTGTATCCAGGCATGATGTCATTGCAGGGGTGAATGCACGGAAGTCGTCAAAGGTTCCTGTACTAGACATGGTTATACAGGAGGATGGCAGGTATTTGCACAACGGTGCATCATTTGTGGATGGGCAGGGAAGTGATGATGATGCAGACGAGAACATCAATGGTGACGACATGACAGAATCTGATGAAGATGATGGTGATACTGTGACATCAACTGCCCCGTCTAGCCACTTCACAAGAATGTATGATCTCCCTGAAGGTTTTACTGATGCGTGGATGAGTGGATCATGTGAGAAAAGGTTTACCCCCGATGGTGAGTTTGAGGTCGGTCAACAGTTTGACAACAAAGAACAAGTTATCAATATGGTGAGCTTGTATTCTATCAAACGGAACCAATTCTATCGGGTGATAGAGTCCGATAAACACAAATGGGTGGCACAATGCAAAAGGAAGAAAGAATGTCATTGCCCCTGGAGAATACGTGCCACAAAGAACAAAGGCAACCTTGACACCTTCACAATTGTGCGTTATTCTCGACCTCATTCTGCTTCTTGTGTAGGCAACATCGACACTACAGATCACGTGGCCTTGACATCAGAATTCATCTGTAAAGATGTGGTTGACATTATTCGCACTGATCCTTCTCTTAAAGTGCATACTATCATCGAGATGTTGAAGGAAAAATATGGGTATACGGTATCTTACCGGAGAACATGGATGGGGAAGCAAAAGGCCATAGCACAAATATTTGGCGGTTGGGAAAAGTCATATTTCGAATTGCCCCGTTTCATGACAGCACTCCAACATTCTAATCCAGGAACTATTGTTCAGTGGTACCCACCCCCCAATGGTTCCACAGGTTATATGATGTTTCAAAGAGTTTTTTGGGCATTCAAGGCTTCAATATCTGGTTTTAAGCATTGTCGACCCGTACTTACTATTGATGGCACACACATGTATGGAAAGTACAAGGGCACATTGCTCGTGGCCATGGGTTGTGATGCGAACAACCAAATTTTCCCAGTCGCCTTTGCAGTTGTAGAATCCGAGAATGGAGACAGTTGGCCATGGTTTATGGCATGTATTCGGCAATTTGTGACTAACAGGGAGTTGTGTGTCATTTCAGATAGACATGGAGGTATTGTTAGGGCAATGAATGAGGTGGGAAGTAATTGGGAGGAGCCTTATGCGCATCATAGGCTATGCATCCGTCATCTTGCTTCAAATGTGCACACTCATTTCAAAGACATTCATTTAAAAAAATCTATTTGTGTGGACTGCACGGCAACATCAGAAAAAAAAAAATTTGATGGTGGGTTCAAGAAGATAGGTGAAATGAGTAGGGATGCACGACAATTTTTGGCCAACATTCCTCCAGAAATGTGGTCGCTGCACCATGATGGCGGGTACAGATATGGTACCATCACTTCAAATCTGGCTGAGGTTTTCAATAGCGTCATGAAAAATGCTAGATATTTGCCCATTACCGCCTTGGTCCAGGTGTCTTTTTACCGGGTTAATGCGTACTTTGTGAATAGGCGTGAAACCAGTAAGTTGAGGCTCACACAAGGCCACGAGTACTCCCCATACATCACAGATTTAATTGAAAAAAATAGAGAGAAGGCAAAGCATCACATTGTCACTCCATTTGATTTAGGGCGAGGTATATTTCAGGTGGAGACCGGTTGTGGTGGCCGAACGTTGGGAAAGGGTGGGAGAAAACAAACTGTCCATCTACAACGGAAAACGTGCACTTGCAAAAAGATGGAGATATACAAGATTCCATGCTCCCATGTATTAGCCGTGTGTAGACAACGTAGTTTGTCTTATGCTCCATTTGTGGATAAGTTCTTCTCTTCTGACCAATACGCCGCCACGTATCATAGGGTGTTCAAACCGATTCCTGATCGTGATTATTGGCCCAATTACAATGGACCCGAAATCGTGCACGATCCATCCATGCTTCGGGCAAAGGGAGGACCAAAGTCGACCCGTATTAAGAATGAGATGGATGAAGGACCACGAGGAACAGTTAAATTAGATGTGGAATATGCCACCAAACCGGCCATAATAGAGCGACGTGTGCAAAGAGATCATCTAGACAAGATGGGGGGGGGGGGTCCGCCGGGTATGTATATATTTAGAGTCAATCATAATTCATGATTTCCTTGCAAGGAAAATTAATAAATTCAAAAAAGGAAGTTAAAAAAAAAATTAATACATTATACAATTACAACTAATACAATTAGAACTAATACAAATTTTGTTTGTAGGCATGGAGGTGATAGCGGATCCTGGGCCGAGTGATCGTTCTGTCCTCACACTGCAGGCCTCACACAGGAGTGAGGATGTTTGGCTTGGCATGGATGTGCAGGTTGATAGGTGCCGCGAGCATCTGCGGGGTTTGTCCCATTTACATGTCGACCCCAGAGTCCTAGCCTATGTTCGTGCTGCAGGTTTTTTACACTGCACAGGTTAGTGGCTACTGTGCCTTTAGATAGAGCCCTCCTCACTGCTCTACTTGAGCGTTGGAGGCAGGAGACACATTCATTTCACCTCCCTGTTGGTGAGGTCACTGTGACATTGGGAGATGTGGCTGTACTTACCGGGTTAGAGGTTGATGGGAGAGCTGTTACAGGCACTGCTTGTCGACAGTGGGTTGATGAGTGTGAGAGGTTGTTAGGCATCCGCCCCGTTCTTAGGGCTGACCTTCAGGGGTCATCTCTTAGGATGCCATGGTTGAGGGAGCACTTCCAGGCCCTTCCTCCCGACGCTGATGAGATGATCATCCAGCAGCATGCTCGTGCGTATATATTGATGATGATGGGAGCCTCCATTTTCGCTGACAAGAGCGGAAATGAGGTTCAGGTGCTACACTTGCCTTTGCTGGAGAGGTTTGATGTAGCAGCACAGTTTAGCTGGGGTAGTGCCACCCTGACTTATCTCTACAGGCAGCTGTGTCGCGGGTGCCAGAGAGGGAGCACAGAGCTGGGGGGATTTTTGCTACTCCTCCAGATTTGGTCATGGGAGTATATCCACATTGGCCGTCCCATTATAGTTGGATATCATGGCATTGATGGATAGCCACTGCCTGATGAGCCTCCACGTCTGCTAGGACCACATCATGTACGGGGCGTGGACCCTCTTGGCCGTCGGTATGTTTTCAATCGTTTGTATTTGTGTTAGTTTTTGTTGAATGTAAATGCATTAATAAAATCCATATTATTGATATTGTAACATGAATGGTTAGGTGGCTATATGCTGGTTTATCTCGCATGTCATCCGCTACTGGCCTTGGTGTGTACAGGGATGCATTGGATCGGATGTCAGAGGACCAGGTATGGTGTGTGTATTATAACAGTAACTAGAATAGGTGTAGAATAAATACTAATTTTGTATGTTTACGAAACAGATCACATGGATGCCGTTTAGACCTGATATGTTAGCAGAGTTGTCCCCAGCTGGACGAGAGCAGACTCACATATGGCGAGCACGTGTGCCGCTGATATGTTTTGACATTGTTGAGCTTCATTTGCCTGATAGAGTCATGCGACAGTTTGGGTTTGAGCAGGTCATTCCACGTCCTATCGACACTTATGTAGAGCTGCATAAGCTGGATAGGCGTGGGAAGCATACAGAGGATTGGGCACTCAGACATGTCCGATACGTGACTATGTGGGATAGGAGAGCTGAGCTAGCTGTGGCTGGGACACCCACATATGTGCCATCAGTTTCAGGAGATTACATGGGATGGTACTACAGCATCACTCGGTTGTTTGTGTCTCCTTCGTTCAGACTCCCTACTCATCATTATCAGCCTAGCTCATTGGCATTGCATCTTACGGTGAGTATATTACTAATTAGTAAAGTAAGTCATTTTATTTATGTAATACTTGTATGTATTTCAATGTAATTGTAATTGTGTTTCGTATTGCAGACACGAGCTTTGCAGCGCATACATCAGCGGGCTACTGCCACTGTGACTGATATTCCTGATGTGGACATGTATGGACAGACTCTGACAGGCATTGCCTCGTTATGCTCAGATGTGTTGGGTCGAGTAGACTACGGACATCTTATACACATCCCCGCATCTCAGGAGATGGCATCCACGTCTAGTGCAGCCGCGGCTTCATCATCCCAGACGCAACATGAGAGAGTGGTTCTTCAACCACGACAACGCCGTAGGCGTAGACATGAGCAGCAACATCTCCATGACGAAGCTGATGATGGGAGCTTGTAGTTTGTCTTTTGTATTGTAGTTTTTCTTATGCAGTAGATGTTGTAGGAACAATTTACAAGTTTTGATGTATTTTCTCTTGTTAAGTATTCTATGTTGTATTGATGTGTTCGAGTATGAATATTAGATGATTATTTGTTATGGCATATATGATGATTGAACTGTGTTATACCGGTTATGATTTGAAAGTTTTTTAGCGGTGTTTATAAGGTGTTTTTTATGTTGTTGAGAGTAGGTGATTATCATGTGTTGTATCTAGTTTGTAACACTTCAAAAGGAGAAGGGAGACCTTATTTGTAGCAAACAGATCGGTCTAGATTGAACCGGGGCGAAAAACAAGCTGAATTGGTGTTTTAGGAAATAGGCACGATCGTGCCTACCCTTGTAGGCACGATCGTGCGTGGCTGGCAGTAACTGCTCGCCTCAAACCATATTTTAGGGGAAAGTCGCCCAACGGTTGGGCGACTTATCCCTGACCATGGTTACGGCCAGCAGTATTTTGGTAAATACTTTTTTTCCAGCATTATTTCCGTAATTAATTAATTAATTAACATTAATACGGAAAAAAACTCCAATAATTGAAACGGGACAAAGGGAATAATGCACTATATATATTAACATAATCCTTTGGAAAATACAAACATAATCCAAGCTAACAATTCGTTAATATTGTGCCCTCGGTATTATTATAGGTGACAACTCCGGTACCCATTTAAAAAATGGGGTACCGTGCCTACCAAGCATTTGATTGGTCCAACTCATTATATGTTTTTTAATTTAGATTTAAATAATTCAACTGCATCATTCTTATTGGTCTATTTGGACAAAGGTATGGTACATTTGGGGTACCATAGAATCTACCATTATTATAATACAGAGTCTTACCTTATCTTTTAATTAAGATGTTTCCATTTTTATATTTTTCTATGCTCAACTTGGACAATTATAATTATAGACCCGGAACCTCTGCCTTGCTTTAGAGCAAGGTATGGTGTTCGGCTCATAGGGGTCGCCCAATCAAAAAACCAAAAAATCAATGACGCCAGATCTTGGATGTCGACATCTCAAGGCGCCCTTTCCCCCATCCGCTCATTAGTTGCCGCACAGCACCATTGCCGCATGACAGAGGATCTCAATCCTTATAATTACTCCGTATATTTCATTCCTTAATACTAAGAACATGTGTTGTACGTGATTGAATCAGCCGATTTTGCTGAAATTTATGAAATTCTGGCTGAAGTGGCCGATTCTGATGATATAAGAAAAAAATTAAAATATATTTTATTAATAAAATAAAGAAAAAATTATACCATGTACTACGTATGTAAAAATAGCTAAAATGGTCATCTACAATAACTTCAACCAATACAACCAGAAAAGTGATTTCAACCTTACTTTTTATTATTATTACACAATTCATCGCGTGAAATCAAAAGTTGCGTATTTATTATTATTATCAATCAAAAGTTGACTGATAAGCCTCATAAGCCGAAAACAAGTCTACCAAACAGTCTCTAAAAAATAAAAAACATATTTGAAAATTTAAAATGAGAAAAATTTAATACAGTGTGATTTTTTCAAAACTAAATTTCCAATAAAAGAGGTAGTATTAAAAATATGACTGTTGAAAAATTTAATACAGTGTGATTTTTTCAAAAGTATATTCATAGAGCATAATAATATTACTCCGTATCTATTAAAAACAAAAGTAGTATTAAAAATATTGAATAAAACAAAACTAAGACAACAAAACAGCCACCAGCCAAAGCAAAAACAGAGCAGCACACTGAAGCGAGAGGCTGCTGTAATAAAAATTCATACGGCTGAGTCAAATCGGAGAGAAACCCGGCAGAGAGGGCAACTGGAATGAGTTCTCAGCCACTTATCGACGCAGACGGCGTGGAACCGGTGCCGGCACGCCGGCAACACCTTCACCTTCTCCCCTTCCTGAAAGCCCGAAAGGCAGATGCAACACTCGGCGTCTCCGCCGCTTCCAGCTGCGTGCAGAACTATGGGATAGTTATCGATCACGGCGGCTTGGAGCCCGAGTTGAGTCTCCGCCGCCGCGTGCGGCGGCGCGTGGGGACCACGCTCCGCCCGGAACCGGCAGACCCAGCGCAGATAGAGGGCGAAGACGAATAGCACGAGGAGGAGGGCGAAGACGGCGACGAAGAAGAAGAGGGACTGGCGGCTGATGCGGTAGTTGTCGTCGAAAGCGGCGTAGTGCCAGTGAAAAGAGTCCCGGTGATCGGCGGGGGCGGCCGGCGGTTCGTCAAATGAAGACATAAGGAGGGAGGTATAGAATAGCAGTAGTATTAGGCAGTTTTATCATCAACTTATCACAATAATAAATAATAAATAAATAAAAAAATAAAACGGAACTTTCCATATTCTATCCGGTACCAAAATGATATGTAAAGTATCATGCAAATATTTCTTAACTATTTGATTCCATAAATATGTACTCTCCAAATTTAATCTACCTGTCCAATCAAAAAAAATCTGGTCCTTTTGCGCGTGTGGAATTAATCTATACAAATTGTCTAATTATTTTCCTAATCTGGTCCTTTTGTCATACTCAAGTAACTCAACTAGTCAAATTGCCGTTTTATAAAAAATGGTTTTCTTTTAATAAAAGTATTTTAAATAAAGAGTACAATTTTTTTATTAGTCCATTGTTTTAATGTACTGTGTATATGTGGCTAAGAGCCCGTTTGGTAGCAAGAAAATCGGCTGATTTGGCTGATTCTGCTGAAATTTATGAAGTTCTGGCTGAAGTGGCTGCATTCGCTGATTTCGCCGTTTCAAGAAAAAAAATTAAATATATTTTATTAATAAAAAAAGAAAAAAATTATATGTGAAAATAGCTAAAATGATCATCTACAGTAACTTCAGCCAATACAGTCAGAAAAGTAACTCCAACCTTACTTATTACACAATTCAGTGCGCGAAAGCAAAAGTTACGTGTTTGGTGAAAAAGTTGGCTGCCAAGCCTGATAAGCCGAAAAACAGTGTTGCCAAACGGCCTCTAAATATCCGCATGTTATTATTGGATTTTGGGACAATATTTTTGAAGAAAATGATATAGTACCCAGTTCTCTTTTATACTAGTATAAATTTAAATTTCAACCAGTCTTTATTTTCTTATTAAACTTATCATCAATAACAACAATAAGGAAAAAGTATAGAAACAAAACAAACTTTAGTAATTAGTTTTTTTCTTTTTTTAAAACAGAAGATCAGAAGTAATACAACTATACAAGAATCATCCAAGTATTACACGAGTTTTTCCGTATTAATGCTAATTAATTAATTAATTACGAAAATAATGTTGTGTTAAAAGTATTTACCGATATACTGATGGGTTTAACCCTGGTCGGGGTAAGTCGCCAGACGGTTGGGCGACTTATAAGTTGCCAAACCGGATGGCGACTTATAAGTCGCTCAACCGTTTGGCGACTTACCTCTTAAACAGAAAGTCGGGTTGGGCGTTTCAGACAGAACGCAAATATCTCCAAATCCCCAAACCCAAACCCTCTGCAGCGACGAGCGAAGTGCGGCGAAGTGCATGAAGGTTAATCTCTGGCGAGCGACGACGAGACCTCCCTATCTTGTCAATACGACTTCACTTTCATCTTCTTCAACACTCTAGGTAAACAAATATCTCTATTTTATCTCATTTTTCGTGTTAGGGTTTAGAATATAGAAAATTCGATTTTGTAAATTAGGAATTCATTTGTGAATTGATTTGTTGTGTAATGTGAATATGTATGAAGTGTTGAATGTTGATGTTGAATTCATTGTTATATACATTTTTTTAATATTTGTTATGTAATGTAGATTTGGAGGTGTTTTTTCCGCATTAATGCTAAAAAAACTCGTAAATTAGACTCTATTTTTTTAAATGTAATATTTTCCCATTTCTATGTGTATAGATATCATATAGGATTTGCTTAATATGTTGTGATGTGTATGAAATGATTAATTTGGGTGTATAAAGTGTGTATATTAATGTGTACTTATGAAAGTTAGACATGTATTGTTATTAGAATATGAATTTCTTCAACTTCTCAATCGTGTGTCATAGGGGAGGGAACATATATGAGGATGCTGGCTAAATACGCCATGACGGTGGTAGAAGCAGCTTTGTCATTGTTTCTCGTGGCGCATGTTTGCTCGAGATGGTGCAAAAAATCCACGTAGCTACACAGATTCATATGAGCCGTTCTTCTGCGATTGAAAATGAAATTTCCCCTTAACGTGGGAAATTACATGCTTATGCCACTTGTTGATGAGCTTGCTGTCACAAATATGTGGTTGATACTTCAGATGGAGGGTATGTTCACGCTGGAGATATACATTGAGGAATCCATATGTGATGCTTCTGCTACTCCCTCAACATCAAATGTTGGTGTTTCTAGGCATGGTGTGAATGCAGGGAACTCCTCAAATGTTGCTGTACTGGACATGATTGTAGAGGAAGAGGAGAGGTATTTGCACAATGGTGCATCACGTGTAGATGACCAGGGAAATGATGATGATCTTGATGATAACATCAATGATGATGACATGACAGAATCTAACGAAGATGTTGGTGATACAGTCACCGCAACTGCCCCGTCTAGCCACTTCACTAGAATATATGATCTCCCATCCGCCTTTCATGATGCGTGGATGAGTGGATCAGGTATGAAAAGGTTTACAACCGAAGGTGAGTTTGAGGTTGGTCAACAGTTTGACAACAAAGAACAACTCATCAATATGGTGAGCTTGTATTCTATTAAACGGAACCAATTTTATCGGGTGCTGGAGTCCGATAAACACAAATGAGTTGCATAGTTCAAGAGGAAAAAGGAACGTGATTGCACCTGGAGAATACGCGCCACAAAGAACAAAGGCAACCTCGACATGTTCACAGTTATGCGTTATCCTGGACCTCATTCTGCTATCTGTGTTGGCAACACTGACAGTACTGATCATGTGACGATTACTTCAGATTTCATTGCTAAAGATGTGATTGACATTCTTCGCACTGATCCTTCCCTTAAAGTGCATACTATTATTGAGATGCTGAAGGAAAAGTATGGGTATACGGTATCATACAGGCGAACATGGATGGGCAAGCAAAAGGCCATTGTAGAAATATTTAGCGGTTGGGAGAAGTCTTATTCTGAATTGCCACATTTCATGACAGCGCTCCAAGATTCCAATGCTGGGACAGTTGTTCACTGGTACCCACCTCCTATTACTCTCATAGGCTATATGTAGTTTCACAGAGTATTTTGGGCATTCGAGCCTTCAATACATGGTTTTAAGCATTGTCGACCCGTACTGACTATTGATGGCACTCACTTGTATGGGAAGTACAAGGGTACATTGCTCGTCGTTATGGGTAGTGATGCGAAAACATTGTTGTGCTTAATTCTCAATTGTCACCATTCTCTAATCGGAGCTTACGTTTCTAATAAATTGCAGCGGAAGATTTAAAAAAAGGATGACACCCCATCCCTGAGGTCCCCACAACACCGACCGGACAGTACGATGGGAGGATGTAAATTGGACTATAATCACAATCTGACAGATAGAGAGTGGGATTCCGTCCCCGGTACTTGCAGAGGCCCCTTATTGAGTAACCTCTCATCGCAGTTGCTGGGAGTCGAACCCGGGACCTAACCCTTGTGGCACTTCCTCTCTACCAGTTGAGCTACGCCCACCGGTTCAGCAGAAGATTTAAAATTTCTATGTGAAGGGCCCCCCCTTTGATAAAAAAATGAATATAAGAAGGGATATTTGCAATTTTAGTCTCATAACTTTTGATTGTTTTCATTATCAGTCCCATAACTTTAGTCACCTGTAAATTTGGTCCTGTAACAAAAAAATCTTTGCAATTTGAAGACATTTCCCCAGAAGAGTACATTTTCCAACAAAAATATACCGAAAAAGATGACGCCGACATTTGATTTTTGCTGGAAAGTGTACTTTTCTGTGGAAATGTCCTTAAATCGCAAAGATTTATTAGTTACAGACCAAACTTGCAAGTGACTAAAGTTATGAAACGAATAATGAAAAGTCAAAACAACCTAGAGTTGCACTTGTGGGATGACTAAAATTGCAAATTCTAAAAAACTATAAACACCAATGAGAGTAGGGTTATTTTAGGTATAGAAAATATGTTGGTGTACACTCCATTTTTGTAGGTATGTACCGATAGCTTCTGCCTGTGTACTTTCTTTTCTTTTCTCCCTTAACGACTGTTGCAGTTAACGGTCTCACCCATACAAGCACACCTCTTCTTCTCCCTTAAGAATCATTCGCATTCACCTCTGATTGATTTGGCTACGGCTAAGAACTCACTAAGATACGCTCATACACAAGCCTCACACGAGCGTCACTGTAAGTATTCCCTTATTCTTCTCTCAATCGTCTCAGTTATTAATTTCATGTTTCTTTCATCTTCTCCCCATCCTCTGAGGTATTAATTTCGTGGTTTATGATGATTGCATTTAAACATTTCATTGAATATTCAATTCGAACTTGATCGTAATGATTGCAGCACCAAGTGATAACAACTCAAGAACCTTTCACAATTTTAATCATTCCTCCTTTAATCTTCTGTTGCTCGACACTCTACTCCAACTAGGCGTCTTTGGCATTTGTGAAATTGTGAGCTTCCTGTTTTTCTTCAATTGAAGCGGGCGGATATTGATTTCATTTCTATGTTTTTTAGTGTATTATGTCTTTTCTTGCGGGGGATTGATGGATCCCGTGTTGAAAAGGTTTTAGAGTCGGTGCACATATCAGCTGATAGGAATACAGTTCACGGTGATGTATCTGCCATGGTACCTGGTGGCATTCGTATGGGTAAATTACTTTTTCTTAGAGTTGCATCATCTTCTTCTTAAAGTTTTCCTCAATGTTGAAAAGGTTTGGTAGCCACGATGTGCTTATTCCACTTATTCGAACTTGATTGTGACGATTAGAGTTTTCCACCTCCTAAGCAGCACAAGTGATAGCAACTCAAGAACCTTTCACAATTTTAATCATTCCCCCTTTAATCTTCTGTTGCTCGACACTCTACTCCAAGTAGGCGTCTTTGACATTTGTGAAATTGTGAGCTTCTTGTTTTTCTTCAATTGAAGCGGGCGGATATTGATTTCATTTCTATGTTTTTGAGTGCATTATGTCTTTTCTTGCAGGGGATTGATTGATCCCATGTTGAAAAGGTTTTAGAGTCGGTGCACATAGCAGCTGATAAGAATACAGTTCCCGGTGATGTGTCTGCCATGGTACTTGGTGGCATTTGTATGGGTAAATTACTCTTTCTTAGGGTTGCATCATCTTCTTCTTAAAGTTTTCCTCAATGCTGAAAAGGTTTGGTAGCCATGATGTGCTTATTCCATTTATTCGAACTTGATTGTAAGATTAGAGGTTTCCACCTCCTAAGCAGCACAAGTGATAACAACTCAAGAACCTTCCACAATTTTAATCATTCCCCCTTTAATCTTCTGTTGCTCGACACTCTACTCCAAGTAGGCGTCTTTGGCATATGTGAAATTGTGAGCTTCCTGTTTTTCTTCAATTGAAGTGGGCAGATATTGATTTCATTACTATGTTTTTGAGTGCATTATGTCTTTTCTTGCAGGGGATTGATGGATCCCGTGTTGAAAAGGTTTTAGAGTCGGTGCACATAGCAATTGATAGGAATATAGTTCCCGGTGATGTGTTTGCCATGGTACCTGGTGGCATTCGTATGGGTAAAATACTTTTTCTTAGAGTTGCATCATCTTCTTCTTAAAGTTTTCCTCAATGCTGAAAAGATTTGGTAGCCATGATGTGCTTATTCCACTTATTAGCAGAATCATCAGAATAAGCTTTCAACTCTTACTTTTTTTAGGGCAAAAATTTTCAACTCTTACTTAGTTGCCTGAAATTGGTGTTACTAAACCAATCACCTCTTAAGTATCCAGTAGATTTAGTCGTCTCAGCCAAATAACCTGCACCAAACAGGTGCTTTTTGTGCATAAACCTCTCTCTGCTTGCATAGCCATTTTAGTAACTTCAATCTTTCTTATAATCTAGGAACTCTTGCTCTTACCTCTAGAGGATTTGTTGAGGAGGATTTTATTAAGGTGGTTGAGTTCGTTGATGCTTCCGTAAAGTTGGCTCTTAAGATAAAGGCGAAGAGAGAAGGTTTAAACCGCTCACCCCTTCTATATAAGTGTTAAGCATTAATAAGCTTAATTTAGATGTATGCTTATAAGTAGTTGGTTTCCCCATGAATAGAGGTGAAGGACTTTGTGGCAAGTATGAACTCAGATTCTGAAACTCAATCTGAGATAGCAAAGATCCGGTCTGGGGTCGAGGAATATGCAAAACAGTTTGCCACTATTGGTTTTGAGAAGGAAACAAGGAGATACAAGCATTGAACACACCAGAGCCAAGGAAAATGTTGATCAGTTCAATATATTCATCTTTAATTACAAATGTTGGGGGACTTTAGCTTCCTTGTGCTTTGGTATCACCATTCTTCATACAGTCAGGGATGTAATGTTGAGTTTTAAATATGCAGGCCGCCACAGTTTTTAAAGGAAATGTCTAGGAGGCGGCTGTTATGTACCCAAAGCTTCTTCCTGCGTACTTGCTCTCCTTTTCTCCCTTAGCGGTTGTTGCAGTTAACGGTCTCATCCATTCAACCCCACCTCTTATTCTCCCTGTAGATTCATTCACATTCACCCTGATTGATTCGTGTAATTATCTAGCTTCATGACCTTGTACGATGTGTTTAAAACATGCACTCTTTGCCAAAGGATCTTATTCCCCCGTTTTCTTTCCGTCTGTGGTAATGGATTTTTCAACATCAACGCTTGCCTCTGTTATCTAGCTTCAGACAACCTGCCAGGTTCAAATGACCTCCACTACATTCGGCTAGGTCCGTTACAGTCTCTCGGCTCCTAACCCTCATCGGAAGAAATCCTCTAGTGATATTTAAGAAGATAATCGTTTTCTTGATTAAAATCAGTTCCTCAGCGGAAAAGGTCTTCCAATGCACCTTTTCTTTCGAAAGAAGTTTAAAAATGGCTAGGGAATCCATTTCCAGAGCAAAGTTGCTATATTCAGCTGTACCGACCCAATCTAGGACATCAATGAGGCATCATAGTTCTGAAAGTATCTTCTGTAAGTATGATTCATGTACTCTTTATATAAGTATGATTCGTGTACTCTTTATATAGGTATGGTTTGTGTGCTCCTTCTATCTTCTATAGTATTTATTTTATTAGTATTATATTGTTACTGAATGTTAATCATATGATGTGTTCTGACTGGACTTTAAGCAACTATTGGTTTGGTGTTGTTCATCATATATTTACCCTATTCCCAACTTCTATTTCAATTATTGTATTATGTTGTATATGTGGTATACTTTTTTTCTTCGTAGTTGTTGCAAATAATCTTATTTTAAATGCAGTTAAATGCATCTAAGAAAAATAACTGTTATTCTGAATATGTACATTTATTATTACATATCAGAACAAAGTCCCACCTTTATTTGGGAAGAATACTTTCTTATTTATGTATTACATTGTTTAAAGTATTTACTCATAGTCTTTTTCTGAACAGATTGTATGAATGTTGAAGTATCATTTACATTAATTTATGCCATCTAAGCTGAAGATATGCTTACGCTATTCTCATTAATACATACTTTAGTATGTTCACCTAGACTTTTTTTAGATTGTTTAGCAATATTCTCATAGGATATTCATAATAAAGGTAAAAAGTCTAGGTGACATTTTTTATGCTCATAGAATGATTAAAAGTCTAGGTTACATTTTTTAGTATACTTTCAGGACTAAAAGTGATTTTTTAACAGTCTATAAAACAATATTGTTGGTTCATTTATCATATTTTCAAAGATAAGATGCCAATAAGGGTGTTTGGAACTGATTCTGCTTCTGCTTCTGTTTTAAAGCAGAATCAGAATTAGAATCATTTTTCAGTAGCTGGTCACCCCAGCTTTTAAAAAAACTGATTATAGGAGTAAATTAGAGAATGAGAATTACTTCTGCACTTTCACCCAAACACTCCAGCTTCTGCTTCTGCTCGCTGAAAGAGCAGAAGCAATTTTAAGAATCAGATCCAAACACCCCCAATAATTCATAAGAAAATTAGTAAGGTATATTTCTAAGTTTAGACCTCTAAGGTCTCGATTTAGGATAAGAGACGTGGTTGATTCACTCAAATAATCAACTTTACATAGAGCTACCATGATACTTTCTCTACATTTGGTGCAGTTCACTGAGATGTTCTATTTGACCATGTTATTATTTGTACCCACCTAATTATTATTTATGCATTTTGAGTTTGGTTTTCAGGCTAAAAACTTTAGAGGAGTCCAACGTCGACTTTGAGCTTGGTAAGGCTAAAAAGTTTGCTAGCTAAGTGATGAGATCTTCTCGGGAGGTTAATGATCCACCTTCATGCTATTTTCACTACAGATTTTTTAAAGGTTGTTGCACTCTCGTGGTTTATACTCTCGATAAGTTGGTTGAGTCAGTTCTAGCTTCTATTTAGCTTTACTGACGGGATCCGAATTGCATTTTTAAAATGTGTTAGTCTCAAGTTTCTATATGGACTACAAATTCAATATTAATTGTTAAATCTGTTTAACATTATCTGGCAACATGTGTTCATGACGTCACTTGATCATACGGTAGTTGTACATGCGCTTAGATGCGATCTGGGGCATGAGAACTAAGAAAAGAGAAATATGTAATACCTATCTTAATATTGATGGTTCACATTCGATTAAATACAAGGCATTCACGTGATGATGTATGAAATGTGAAATAAAAGGTACAATAAATAAACGTTGTACATTAAATAAAGGTGAAGAGAAATATAAGATCCACTAATATAGACAATAAATATTTTTATTGTTCAAAAGAAAGTAGGAATTTATTAAGTATTAGTTCTAGCAGTTGATATGTTTGCTTCTATTCAACCAAGTGAACCAACTTCACACATCATCAATTGTTGGATGTGGGATTTATAAAGAAGATCACTAATTTGATATAAACATTTGTAGCCATACTTTAAATATGCATTGATGCATTGAATTATTTCGTAGTGCGGGCAATCTTGACACTTTTGGTATGTAATACAAGAGTTACTCATCAAAATACTCTCAACTCATTTGTCACTAATTAATCTTTCTCTAAGTTGAAGACAAATTATTCTATTTATCAAATATCTATCAATAAACAATTTCCAATTATTGGCGAGTTGTCCACCACAACATAAAATAAAGATTTGGTAACTTTCAAATACATGATTTATAGCTTAAGCACAAGAGTATAAATTTAAAAGAGTAATTCTTTTCTAAAGACCTAATTTAGTGATTCACAAGTTACATGATAAAAGGTGGATTGAATATAGCCGGTCCGATCCATGAGAGAAAGCACTAAAGAATTTAATAAGTTGGATTG